CATTGTTTCTGTCATATTTTGAATTGAATCCCAAGTGTGTTCTCATTCCTCAATACAAATTAAAAATAAACAACTTTTAACAGCAAAGATGCCATCTGGATTACAATGGAAATAATGAAGTATGTGTGATTTTAGCTTGGGTAAAAATAAAGGCCAGGCAATATGACTGCACCTTTTCCATTCCATGCTGCAATCACAGTCACGTCTCGGAACTGACTCTATGGACCACAGCAAGGTCAACTAGAAATATCCACTCAGCTTGGTGAGTCAGGCACATTGCTCAACCCGGGAAAGGGCTCTAACAAAGGGTTTAAACTTGCAGATTATTGCATCACAGTCATGTTATAAATGAACTTTGCAAAGATAAGCCTTTAACACAGAAAAGGAAATTGCTTCAAAAATTACAGTGAGCTTGCACTTACACCCAAGGAAGAGAGATATAAGAGGGGTGTTACTAGCATGGCCCCCATCCCGTTTTCAGACTGCTAATCAATTTCTCTCCATCTCCATTCCCTGATCTATAAAATGGAGATGAAAGAACACTCAACACAGTGCCTGGCACATGCAGTGTAAGTGTTTAGTTAATATCAGCTCTTCATTCATTTCTAAAGAATGAGCAGTACCAAGGCAATGATGCTGATGATTAGTTCTAAGCCCTTTTAGCCTCTCATGATATTTAGTGAAGCACTGCCCTATGTCACAAGCATAGGGTAAACCAAATGAAACTTTCTTCTGTATTAGTCAAAGGGGTCAAACATCAGCAATTTCAACATTATGGGCTATACACAACTCCCTCCCAGATCTTAGACCACAGAAGTTTAGATGCAGATTGTCCTGCCACCATCAACACACCTCTGTTATTTCAAATAGTTCCCCAAAACATTAACCCAATTACTTGGGAAGTTTGAGGTTCTGCAATCCTGTCAAGAATTTCCTTCATACTTAATTACCATTGAACAAAATGGCAAAGGGCTTTAAGAAAAAGAGTTAATCATTATTAGAACAAAAAAGTGTTTCAAGAAGGATCTTTAATTATAGGCTTAATATAAGTGTCAGTCCTTACTATCATTGCACGGATATTTAGGCCGAGAAAAAAGAAGGTGAATATCTTTACTAAAAAAAATTATGGTTCCCTGGAAATTATACAGGAAGAATTTACGGAGCTCCTCACTACCGCCCAGCTCCACAGGTTTTATTCTCTCCGCTTACACTGGAGGCCCATGGAAATCAGGACAGCACTCAAGATCACAAGCAGGAGGTCTGAGACCTAGCTCCTCCGAACCCAGAGCCTGTGCTCTTTGCACTTCACCAGGATTTTTCTAACTACTGACTGTGGCCCAAAACTCAATAGAAAAACTTTAAGAGACGGGTGTGAGATATGATCCCATAGAAGCCAACTTTTCATCAGACTGCACTGATGCGCGTTCAGAGAACGTCTGCGATGTCAACCTGGCTTCACTGCGAATGACTGCCCAAGCACAATGCCAGACGTGTCTGTGCGAGGATGAAAGTACTGTACTCTTACAGTAGGACCACGATATCTGCGTGGCCGTTTTGATTTTTGTTTTATTTTGAACTCGGGGGTTTCGAACTCTCCCTACTCTAGCCTTTGACTACATAAACTAAAGGTTAAAAAAAATACATATACTTTACTAGCCACACTCAAACTGGGGCCCTCCTTCCCAACACCATCAAGGCTGCAGAGTCTCCACCCCCATTTTGTGTGGTCTGTTGGCATTTGGAGGTTTTCTTAGGTGTTTTTCATTTCACGAATCCAAAAGCGCTCGGCTCCGAAATACAATGAAGCCTCAGCCTCCCGGAACAAAGGTGCTTACAGTGCTCCGAGGCTCACCGTGCAGAAGATGAGGAGGCAGGCCGCTGGAGCTGTCCTCTTCGTGCGGCCTCGCCCGGGTCCCTCCTGCTCCGCTCCCTACCTCGCTGGCTCCCCTCCCCGCCTCTCCTGCTCCCCTCCCTCGACCCAGAGAACCCCTAGCGCACTCGCACCGCGCCTCTCCGAGACCCGCCCCCAGCCAAGTGGGCGGTGCAGCCCGGCCCCGGCACCGCCAGGACCCCCGCGCCAGAACAAAGGAATGTGGGGAGGGGGCGAGGAGCGCAGGCCTTCGTGCAGCCCCAGTCCAAGCAGCGCCCAGGGCAATTCCGGGAGCCGACCCAAGGCCCCCGCGCGCCACCTCTACACCCCACAGACCCCACGGGCCCGCAGGAGAATGGGGAGCGCCGGGAGGCACCCGCGCGCCACCGAAGGTCGCAATCGGAAGGTAGCGGTACGTGGACCCCTGCAAGCCAAGGGCTCCCAGTCCGAACTCCAAAGTAGGTCGGGGTCTGACGTCGGGGGGGCCTGAGCAATATTAGCCTCTTGGAAAGCGACTGCAATCATTTGAGGTAATATAGTTTGTTCCAGTGGTGAATCTCTATAATACCTTTGCCCCAACCCCACAACATTGCACTTTGTTACCTTAGGGGGAAGAAATCTGATATATATACATACACACCATCATATACATACATATGAACACATACTTATACTACGTAAGAGTCCAGGAAGAAATTTAAATTCTGGGTACATTATATATTCATCTATCCTCACATGAATAAAACTAGGTTATCCAGATAAAAATACAATCTACTAACCTATATTTGTTTCCCATAAGTCATATCTGGTCTGGAGAAAAAAATACAATGTGAAACAAATACTTGTGACCTCATTCGCTGTTGTTATTTACAAGAGCCGAGAAGATGACACTTGGCCATGCCCTGCTTTCTCAGGGAAGAGCACTTTCCTAAAGTATCCTTTAAAAAGATAAATGGAAGTCAGCATCCAGCAAATCACCGGGCTCTGTGAAATGCCTTCCTAAAAATATAATCTTATCAAAGGCCTCCGAAGGCGTGGAGTTAAAACTACAGCAAATGGCCTTGAACTTGTATTTGCACACAGCCCCAGAGAAAACACCCGAAATAGCATCGCGAGGCCACAATTGTTAAAATGTGATAGTTAGGGCTAAATTTAGAAGAACACACATTTCATTTAGGGCAAAAGACATTCGGCAGCATGAGCAAACTCAATGCTTACCCGGTTGTCTACTTTCCTGTTTAAAATAACCTTAAAGAAACTGTTACAGTGACATTTAAAGGCTGAGATTGTCCTACTTTCTTTGTAACAAAATTATAAAATCACGTAATTAGCTCCCTCTTCCTATGCTCACTGCCAGCAAATTCGGCAGTTACATAATGCAACATTTCCAGGAAACTATTATGTGATCTGTCTAGTCGTGTCTGAAAAAGCAATGACAATAAGGTGAGGAAAAGGGCTGATCGCATGGAATGCATTAAAATTAGGAAGGTGGGGAGGTAAGCGTCACAACGGTTCGTTCCAGGTTTAAAAATAATAGCTCAGAACATCTAAGGAGCGAACCCCGGTAGTATCCAAGACCAGAATTCAACTCGAGTAATTCCTCCTTTCACGTTTTGTAGGAGTGTTTAAAAATGTACTTGGGACGTACTGTAGATGTAAATAACGATCTAATTAATATCCAACGCTGCGCTAAAATTACCAAATGGTTGCACACATACGCGCACATTCCCAGATCAACCCGTAATCCTTGCCAATATTTCAGTGGGCAGATTATGCAATGTAAGCAAGGACAAACCCACAACCTTCCCAAGCGCTGGTACAACACTCTGACGGCAAACAGGGTGAAAAACGTCTGTGCATACACAGCCCGAATACAAACAAACGCCGCGCAGGCATTCTCCGAATGCCGTCACCGTTCACGCCACCAACCCTTTCTCAACACGATAATCAAGACTATTCCCTATAACTCAGCCCCCCACCCCCACCCCC